GGCGGAGAGAAACATTGATGCATGCAACCTGGGCATGTGCCCTAACTGGGAATGGAACTGGTGACCTTTCAGTGCACAGGACTATGCTCAACCAGCTGAGCCACACCAGCCAGGGCCCTCCTACATATTCTAACGGTAGTATTGGAGTGGCCATGGGGTTATAGGACAAAAGTGGTATAAGGCTGGAAACTCCTTCAGTGGTCCAGGGAGAGAACATGGCGCCTTCAGTCGGGGAGGTGACAGTGGAAGTAGTAGAGAGTGGTCAGGTTCTGGATACCTTTAGAAGAGGGAGAAGACAGGGTTTGCTAATTGGTTGGTTTTAGGGTGTGAGGGAAAGACTGGCAAAGAATGTCTCTAGAGATTGCGAACTGAACAACCGGAAAGGCTTACTGAGAAAAGGAGTGCTGCAGGGGAGCAGATGTTTTAGGGGACTATCTAGAGCTGAGTTTTAAGATTGGTTGGAAATTTTAGCTACCCCTGAGGGTACATCTTGGAGTAGGAGGAGGCTACTGAGACATCCAGGGTGCAAAAATGAAGGAAGCAGGAACTCTGAGATGTGGAACCTGCACCTCCTTAGATCTTGCCTTTAAATCTGGTGCTCTAGTGCCTCACCCTACTCATGGCCCTGAAAGGAGGGCATGTTGAGCAGTTTGCAATTGTAGGACCTGGCGGGGCTGGAGAATTATTGTGTCACTTAAATGCTTTGAGCCTGTTTCCTTACATGTAAAATAAAAATGTTAATAGTTATCTCAGTGTTTCAGTGGAAGATTGAATAAGGTGATGATTTTGTCTTTTGAAATAATGACTGATGATATCTGGTTGCACTTAGGTGGCCATTAACAAAAAGAAAAGCCCTAGAAGCTGAAGGGACCACTTGAGCCTAAAGCAGTTGTGAAATGGTAGCTCTCTTCTTGTTGTACTAGGAAATTCAAGTGCCAGGACCGCTGGAGAGCATGGGAGAATCCAAGCACAGGGGCAAGGGCGATGCAAACACTGAGCTGACCTTCGTTGGAGTGGACAATGTAAGTAAACAGGATGAAATTCTCTTTGTCAGAGCGATTTCCAAACCAAAGCCAGTCATTTCAAACATTTTGAACAGAGTGACTTCAGACTCATATCCAAAAAGAAAGAAAGGACGCTTGAGTCAAGATCCTGCTTGCACGTTACACCCTGCTGATCACGTGACCCCCACATCAAAAGCAGAGGCCATCTCACCAGTTTCTCAGTCTGGAAGGAGAGCAACAGATAGTCCTAGTATGTTTAAGCCTTCCTCTAAACCTAATTATAAATCCAGCTCCTTACAAGTTGTGCCTGGCAGTTCCTCCGATTTGCTCTCTCCACGGTCTCATTGTCTACTTGGACATATACTTTCTGCAGCAGGCAAGGATGAAGGTCTTCGTGATTCAAAGCGACTTTCCATTCTGGATATAAATAGCAGAAATTCTCAAAGACCTAAACTCAGTGATGGAATCCCAGAGGGACATTCTTCAGCTGTGGCTCCTTCAGGTATCTCTTCTACCACGAACACAAATACAACCTCAGAAGGTGTCCCCTTTCCATTAAGCCCTGATCAGAATGGAGAACCATTTTCCTGGGCTCATGCAAATGACAAGGCACATTTCAATCTTATGGATCCAGACGAAGCAAGTAGTTTGGAAAGGCTGGAAAAAACAGACTTTTCGAGTCTAGCAACTCAAAACAAGACTGTCGATGCCAAGAAAGGAAAACTGATCATTTTACTTCATGACTTTTACTACGGACAGCATCAAGGAGATGGGCAGCCAGAACAGAAGACTCACACAGCCTTTAAATGCCTCCGCTGCTTGAAAGTTCTAAAAAATGTCAAGTTCATGAGTCACATGAAGCATCATTTGGAACTTGAGAAGCAAAGGGGTGACAGCTGGGAAATCCATACCACCTGCCAGCACTGCCACCGGCAGTTTCTCACTCCCTTCCAGATGCAGCATCACATTGAAAGTGTGCACACTGCCCAGGAGCCCTCTGCTGTCTGTAAAATTTGTGAATTGTCATTTGAAACGGATCAGGTTCTCTTACAGCATATGAAGGACAACCATAAGCCTGGAGAAATGCCCTATGTGTGCCAGGTTTGCAGTTACAGATCATCGGCCTTTGCTGACGTGGAAACACATTTCAGAACATGCCATGAAAACACTAAGAATTTGCTTTGTCCGTTTTGTCTTAAAATCTTCAAAGCGGCAGCAACCTACATGAATCATTTTTGGGGGCACTGGAAAAAGCGAGTCTTCTGGTGTTCCAAGTGTCGGCTACAGTTTTTGACTCTGAAGGAGAAAACAAAGCACCAAACCAAGAATCATCAAACATTTAAAAAGCCGGAGCAATTGGAAGGCTTATCTCCTGAAACAGGAGATATTATTCAAATTTTAGTTCAATCCGGATCTCAAGAGGTGCAGCATCCATTACGATGAGCAACACTAACCCTAGATTGTAACCTGTAAAAACCAAGAGACATGTGGCTATTTAGAACAGTATTCCAGATGTCTCTGCAGCTAGGGTTCTGGCTAAAAATTATGTTCCACCCACCTCCAGGAATTCTGAAAGACAGGTTGAGATGAGGGCATCTGTACATCATGGCTGTAGGCGCCAGCAAGCAGTGTCAACAGCTGTCAGGTGTGACAATTCTTCAGCTGCCTACTGTCAATAAGTAGCTCAGAAGATTTCTTAATGCCCCTTGCCAGCCAACCCTTTCCCCAAAGTAACCACTTTTTGGACCTAAATAAGTCAGATGCATTTTTGCTGTGTGTAATAGTAACATATTCTTTTTCACTGCTCTGAAGAATCTCCTTGAATGAAAATGGCAGTTTTATATATCGTTAATGATTTCAGAGAGAGGAGGGGAGAGGAAGAGAGAGATAGAAATATCAATGATAGAGAGTCATTTGATCGACTGAGGCATGTTCTAGGTCCTTTGTTGAACTGAAGTCGTTATAGTGGTCATTCCTGTTTTGGTCTCAAACTCATGTACAATAAATACATCATTAATTGTGATGTTAGCTGTAAGGATTTTTGTAGCTACCCACTGACAGCAGAGGAATTGAGCTACTAATCAATAATCAAAAGATAATTGAGAAAATCCTAAATGTTTGGAAATTAAGCAATATAATTCTAAACAGGGCTGGGACTAGGGTGAGGGAAGCCAGAAGCCTAAGTGCAAAAGTGCCGTCCCTGAACTTTCACAGAATTCAAGTTTCTGAGGAAAGATTTTGAGGAAAATATAAAATGAAGTCACTTTAAGCTGCTAAAATTATAAACATGAAAGCTGAGAAATGAGGAGAGATTTTATTCTTGTTCTAACTAGCCTGGGAACTTAAACTTTTGAACTTTCCAGCCCCCAGTAAATGCCTGTATATACATAAAAGTTCATTGTGTGTCAACAGCTGGACATATACCAGACCCCCAGATAATGCTCTGATTAGCTCCTGAAAGACTCACATACCCAGACCACTCGGCATCTACCTGACATCCATTATCCAGACCACTGCTACCCATCCTGGACCAATTCTAGGTCTAAGAGTGGACTGATTATGCTAAAAAATGTACTTTTTAGCCCCGCCGGTGTGGTTCAGTGGTTGAACATTGACCTATGATTCAGGAGATTGAGGTTCAAGTCCTGGTTAGTGCACATGCCCGGGTTGCGGGCTCCATCCCCAGAAGGTGGTGTGCAGGAGGGAGCCGATCAATGACTCATCATTGATGTTTCTCTCTCTCTCTCTCTCCCTTCCTCTCTCTGAAATCAATTAAAAAAGAATGTACTTTTTACTATAATGGCCCTTAACTTTTCTTTCTTCTTTGGGACACTTCTGGGTTTTTGACTAGCTCTGTTTCCAGTTTGCAAACTGTCAGACTTTTGAATAAATCTTTATCACTTATTTCTAGCAAAGCCTCCAGAATCTTTTTTGAGTTTCTTTGACATACAAAATGTATATATTTAAAAAGAAAAATTGGGAAAATAATGATTTAAATCAGTGCTATCCATAAAAGCATTTGCATTGATGGAAATGTTTTATATTTGCTCTGTGTACATTCAATAATTGCGTGTCTTATAGATACTCTCCCCTTAATGAGACTCCATGCCCCATCCTGAGTGTAGGCTGGATTTAGTCACTTGCTTTCAAAGAATGGTATACGGAAAGTGAAAAAAAGTAACTTTATAGTGGAGAAACTAGTGCTAAGTAATACTGGTGGCAGGTATCTCTGATGGGAAGTTATGAGAAGTATATATCACCTCTGTGGTAGAATTCTAAACCTGACCTTTAAGGACTCTTTAAACCCATCAAGGTCATGTAGAACAAAGAAAGTTTAAGAAACTTTCTAGAACAGGTTAAGGAGACGCTGTAGCAAAAATCACTGGAACCCTGTATGGGAATCTGGAACAGAAAAAAGGACAATTAGTGGAAAAACTAGTGAAATTTGAATAAAGTCTGGAGCTTATTTCATTGTAACTTACTGAAGGATACTGGAGTAATTTTGAGGCCTAAATGAGTCATTTCACATATATACATTTTAAACATTGCAAATATTTTTATATCTACATCTACATTTTTATGGTATATATTACTAAACAGAAATCTTCCAATACAAAGGATCAATAATATTTAGACTGTGTCTGACCATAATGCAACAACATGAGAAATTGATCGAGGAACAGCTTTTAAAAATCTCATGGATTTGGAAAATAAATACCATATTATTATATAACCCTTGCATGAAAAGAGAATCACTAGGGAAATTAGGACATACTTGGAATTAAATGATAATGAACATACTATAAAGCAAAAATTGTGGAACGCAGTTAAATTGGCACAAGTAAATTGAGGTAAATTTATAGGATTACATAAAAAGAAATAAAGGAATTTAAACAAATTATTTATCTCAGAAAGTTTTAAAAAGGAACAACAGAACCTATAGAGATATGGAAGAAATAAATAATAAAGAGTGGAAGAAATAAATAAAATAGAGGGGGAGAAATGACATTATAGATGAACAAAACCAAAAAGTGTTATTTCAAAAGATTATTAAGATATACTTCTGGCAGAACTGAGCAATTAAAAATAATTCTGTGAGGTCCAGACAGTAAATATTTTAGGCTTTGTGAACATGACCTCTGGCAGTGAGTCAACTTGCTGTTAGGTAAGGAAAGCCGCCACAGACAGTATCTAAAGGAATGGCCAGGACCTGTGTGCAATAAAACTTTATTTATGGACACTGAAATTTGAATTTCATATAATTTCACTTTACAAGATAATATTCTTTGTGGGTTTTCCAGCCATTAAAAAATGTAAAGCTCTCCCTGGCCAGTGTGGCTCAGTTGGTTGGACACGGACCCGCACAGGGCGGAAAGGCTGCCAGTTGGATTCCTGGTCAGGCCACACGCCCTGGTTGCGGGCTTGATCCCAGGTCGGGGGTGTGCAGGAGGCAGCTTTGGCTCTCACATGGATGTTTCTCTCTCTCTCTAAACATCAATTTAAAAATCTTCCAAAAAATGTAAAGCTCATTCCTAGCTTGCTGCGAGCTTCACAAAACCAGGCTGCAGGCTGCAGGCTGCATTGGATTGGCCCCAGATGCAACTTGAAGAGAACGGAGGGCAAGATGCAGTTGCATGGTCCAGTTCCCTACGCCAAGGGCAGGCACATAGTGCTCCTGTGGAAAAGAGACCACACTTGAGCACCCTGAGGGGCACGCCAGGTGGGCAAGCCTCTCCCCTGGTGGACTGCGAGCCTGTCCTCTGGGCCTGAACCCCGGCCTCTGTGTCTCCCTGGCCTCCCAAGACCCTTCCAGGGACTCAGCTATCGGCTGCCCGCAGCCCTCTTGGCCTGACCGCGTCCTCAGTGGTCCCCGCCGGGAGCCAGAGCGCGCGCATGCGCCCGGCCCATCCTCGCGGCCAATCAGATCGCAGCGCCCGGAGCCCTGGCGGCCTCACGCCCGCACCTGGCAGCCAGTCACTGGTTCCAGCGGGCGCTGGTGTGGAGGCGGCGGCGCCTGGGGCCTGAGGAGACGTCGCCGCCTCGGGCTGCACCCGGGGAGCGCCTCGG